GATGGAGAAGGCGACGAGGTGTTGAGCCTTTTGCTGGCCACAGGCACTGACTCAGACGAAGATTGGTAGTGCTGCTGGGGAGCGTCGTCGATGAGGACCGAGGGCACCTTTTCGCGAAGCAACTGGGCGTACTTGTGGGTGCCGTAGGGGTACCCGCACCGCACATCGAGCGACTCGAGCCGGGGCAGCCGCATGTGGAGCGTGTTGAAGAAGTAGAACACCTTGTCCCGCTCGTACAGCGAACTGTAATTGGTCTGTTCCGGCGCAACCACAATTGGCTAGAGCCAATCAGAAAATGCAAGTGATAAAAAAAGAGAAAGAGGCGAGGAGTACGAGGAGAGTGTTGGCCAGGTTGAGTGAGGTTAGGGTGCGCGGGAGGTAGCGGACGTGTCGTGTGTTGGCTGAGGAGCCCTTGAGAGACAGCTGTTCCAGGCCCTCGGGGAGAGCCCTGCAGGTGGCGAAACACAACGCTGGTCTTTAGTAAAGAGAAGGACGAAAACGAAACGTAGCAAAGAACGAAGAAGAACGAAAACGAGGATTGCAGATGAAAGAAGAAAGGGACAAGGGGGGTATATACCAGAGCTCCTCGTCGGTGTAGTTGAGTTTGCAGTTCTCCAGGAGGAGGGTCTTGAGGCGAGGCAGCTGGCGAGTGAAGTCCACGTTGGGTATGCAGAACGAGGAGCCCGACAGATCGAGGTCAGTCACCGTTGGAGGGAGATCTGTGTCATCGACCACGTCAGCAGGGGATATATTGTGGACCAATGAGCTCATTGGCGGAGTTATAACGAAGGGCGAAGAAGGTTGCAGAGAGCAGTACTGAAGAGAGCGGCGGGAGAGGTTTCCACGCCAGCGAGCTTGAGGGTGGTAAGCGCCGCGGGCCATTTCGCGGTCATGCAGTTGAACTCGAATTCTATGAACAAACGTGCGGTAACACCAACGTTGTTCCACAACATTCAAATCACGTGATGGAGGGAATGAGAAAAAAGATAAAAGAGGTTCAACCCCGGGAAGAGGTCCACAAGAGAAAGGGAGGGGAAAGAGGGGTAGAGAGAGTACGCACTGTAGGAGAGGTTGCCTTTCTCAAAGATGAGCTTGGTGCAGTGAGACAAGTCGATGTCCTCCACTCCGTCGGGGATATGCTACATAGACGCGACAACACATGTTAACAAGATATTTGATCAGATATCGGTGGCGATTGCTGTTGAACCATCATTATCACACCCACAGCCATTCCAAGGCCCGGCATCACCCACGCAAGTGAGCAGATCAAGAAGATGAAGAGTTAAAATGACCCGAGAGGGGTACCTGAAGCGAAGATACAGTGATGGCCGTAGAAGCGAGGTTCAGCCTCTGCAGCGCGGTGAGTCGGCCCAGCGCCTGCAGGTTCTTGGGCATAACATCCGAGTGGCTCAGGTCGAGCGCGGTGAGGCTCGTCGGCAGCACATCCAGTCCTGGTCGTGGTGGTGGTGGTGGTGGTGTGGGGTTTTCTTCTTGTCAGTGTCCATCCACGATCTTCTTCTACTTGCTTCCCCCACAGAAAGAAGACGTACCGCGGGGAGGGATGGAGGAGTGCGAGAGATTGAGGGAGCGGAGGGTGGTGGGCAGGGCGGTGAGGAGGTCGATGTGGAGGGCTTCTTGCTCGTCGTCGTCGGTCGATGCGGCGCCCGACAGGTCCATCGAACGGAGGCGACAGCAGTGACCAGCCAGAAATCGAACGGTCTCCACCATACGCCCGAACCGCAACCGCCGCCGGCGTTCGGCCTCTTCGTCCACTTGGCTGCTGCTTCGAGCTGTCGCTTGGGTGGCCTTTTGTGGCGTTGAGGAGGATGAAGGTGAAGCTTTGGGCACCGACGTTGGCCCTACGCGCTCAGAGGGAGAGGGACGACGAGCCGCAATACAGCGCGTGACACGCAGCATGTCAAAATGTCAGCGAAGCACCGAAAACGCATCTCCACGCGCGAAGCCCTACGAGTGTGTGAGCGCTGATTGGCCCACGCCAGCACCGGGAATGTTGCTCAACCGGGTCCGGAGTTCCAAGGGAGGTGGATGTACCAGAGTCGAGGCGGCGAGTGAACGAGTGGTGCTCGACTTGGGCCAGCGCGTGGGGTCGCAGGGTCCAGCAAGTACCGGCCAAACGAATAAGGTCTGGCGTGCTGGCTTGCAGGTACGAACACACGATCGCCCACACCTCCACTGGCAGCTCGACGCGTGTGCCGCTCTGAACGCCGGGATCGTCGGCGCTGTGCGACGGAGCCGCGCCCGTTCTGGGGGACGGAGTTGGCCCAACGGTTATGTTAGAACGTGCGCGATGGACTGTGGTCATGAGTGTCGGTGACGTGCAGGTTTGAAGGTGTTTGCGGGGGTCCGAGAGTGTTCGAGAGTTCGCGTGTTGTTGAAAAAGATGAACGTCTTTGATGCTCTTTATTCTGGCAGTTACCAGCGGCAGAGAAGGTTTCTTTCGCCGTCTCTTGCTAGACGCCCGGCACCATGCGCGGGTCGTCTCTGGCCCTCCCCTCCTGGTGAGGTACACGGTGGTTCGTCTTCCTCTTCGTCCTCTTTCCTTCCATCCCCGTGATCAAAGGGAGATTTTCGGTTCGCCATCTCGGCCGAGCTGCTATTCGGGAATTACAGGCAAAATTTCTGCTTCGATTCTCTCCGCAGGTTGCAAGCAGAAATTTTGCCGGCAACCTGCGGAGAGAATCGAAACCTGAACGGACGGATTTCTTGTTCATGGCTAACTGCGCTGACCTTTCCCGGAAGATATGTTGCCTGGGAGCACTGTCCATTCGATGGACCCCTCAGCCTGATAGAGCTTGTCAGCCACTCCATCACAGTAATCCTGTAAACAGGCAGAACATCCCCCCAGCTGTTTGCCTTGGCGTTGGCCACAACCTTGGTAGCTTCAGGCTGCTGAGATTCAATCACCAGAGTGAAGTGCTGCAGCAAGCTGGCTCATTGTTGGCCTCACAATGTGGACTTGCAGGCACTTGTTGTGCCTCTAAATCCTTTTGGCTGTGCTTGGTGTTCTGCTTGTTATCAGCCATGCTGTGTTGGCAGAAGTTGTCACCATAGGTGAGCCAGCAGGCCAGCTCAAGCAAGAAGTATGACATGGCCAATGACAAGACAGGAAAAGGTTGGCCATGTCAAGCCACCAAAGGCTGTGGCTCCACCCTTCACCTGCTGATCAGGGCACCAGCCCAAGTTGTGGTCTTTTCTCAAGAATTACCATTCTTACAACTAATTGGGTGCAATGCATACTTAGTCAGATGTGGCAATGGTGTTACTGTGTTTTGCTACATAGCCAAGACATAACCCAACTGGTTGTCATCTTTACTTTCTTCATTGGTCTACTCATCATCTCATCATTGCTGAGCATCCTCCTCCTCACCAAGTTCTGCCATGTTAACACTATTGTGCAAGCACAGGCCCACTGGCGCATTGTAGTTCTGCCACTCCTCATGCTCCTACCACTTCGGCAAGGGGGGTCCTGTCGCAAATTCATTGTGGTGCATGCTCCTCTTCGGCGACACGAAGCCGTCCTTGCACAAGATTAATAGTTGATCAGTCTGAGAGTAAAACAAATAAAATTCTGACTCCGGCAACGCGAAGCCGTCCTAGCTCAGTCGGTAGAGCGCAAGACTCTTAATCTTGTGGTCGTGGGTTCGAGCCCCACGGTCGGCTATCTCCTTTTTTCCTTCTTGGTGTGCCGCTGTAACGTCGGAGCACCCCTTCGAAAAAAAGAATACTTGTGGCCACCAAGACAAATCTCTTTGTGTGTTGGCATTGAGTAATGAGTCCACCCTGGTCCACCTTTGAAGGTGTGGCGCCCGAAGCATGTTCGTGATGGCTGGGACAGTTGAGCGCTCAGTGCTCGCAGAAGGAGAACGAGCGCTCCCACAGCCGATTGTTGGCGTCGATGAAGTACTTGCGCTCCTTCATCAGCGCCTCGCGATGGGCGTGTGCCTCGGCCTTGGTGAAGCCCCACCTGGCCTTGTCCAGGATCATCACCAGCAGCTCGCGCGGCAGCGGCACGCCGATGGCCGCCACCGAGGCCTCGATGAGGGTGCGCACCACGACCGGCTTGAAGGTGTCCCACTGCTGCTCGGGAATGTCCGCCGACGACTTCACCCTGCGCCACAGCCGTTCGTTTTGAGTAAGTTGATAAAAACAATAAGAGTACTTCTTCATACTCGCTATGCAGTGTTTACATTAAGCTCAATACTACATTATTAGAATAAGTGTGGTGATGATACCTGTGGTCAGGATCGATGAGGAAGAAGCAGAGGATCTTGCGCACGGCGGGCTCGTTGGAGTCGTTGGTGACGCCCTTGACCCGGTGCTGCAGCGTGTTGGTGAAGGCCAGGCATCTCCCCTCCGGCGTGTCCACCTGATTGACGCCCTCTGTCATCAACCACCATGTGACGAGCGCGCGCATGTGGTGTGTGTGCGTGCGTGTGTGTGCGTGTGTGCGCGTTGCGAGTCGCGATAGTATCGAGTGTGTCGCTCGGGTACCTTGCCGAGGTTGATGTTGAACGGCGTGTTGTGGCTGTTCTCGCGGCTCGACATCGACTCCGACCGCTTGTCGCGGAATGCGAGGCACGTGTCGCGCAGGTTGGGCGTGGTCGAGTAGTAGTAGATGCCTGACGCGCAGATGTGCTCATGCTTCATGCCCTCCACGTGCCACGAGCCCTCGTAGCGCTCGCCCGGCTGCACCACGTAGTTGGCCGCCTTGACCACCACCTGCAGCCTCCGCCCATAGAGCCGCTCCTCGCGCCCGCCCACCACTTCGGCGAAGAGCGGCAGAAAGAGGCGGAACACGGCCGCGATCGCGTCGTAGAGCTCGGCATGACGCTCGACCCGCGGGAGGTTGTTGATGTAGGAGGCGATGGTGACGTGGCCCTCGGGCGACACGTTGAACTCGGCCGGCAGCCACTGGTAGATGGAGTCAAGGGCCTCGAGCCTGCGGGCCTGCTCGGCGTACTTGCGCTCCTGGGCCGGGTCGCCACCCACCTCCTCGATGCCCGCGAACTCGTCATCGTCTTCATCGTCATCGCCAGTCTGGACCGGCAACGATGACGAAGTGGTGGAGCTGCGGCTGGCGCTGGCGCTGGGGGTGCCAGACTGTTTCCTGGCGTCCGCTGCTTCCGCCGAGGGCGTCGAGCCCCTCGACGGGGCCTCGTAGCTGAGGCCGCGCACGTAGGGATAGAGCGATGGGTGGATCAGGTCCTGCACCTACACTCGCATTCCGCAAGCATTCCACGTTATTGACGTCATTCCACATTCCTCGCGTACAAGGCATTCAAAGTTGGGCGCCGCGTACCTTGCCCTCGGAGCCGGGGTGGAAGTCCTTGTCGGGCTCGGCGGCGATGGCGTCGAGTGCGCGCTCGAGCCGTGTCTTAAGCTCCGCAAGCACCGCCCCGTCCACGTAGCGCACCCCGTGCACATCATTGCGCTCGCGCGCCAGGTACTCGTAGTCCTCGCCCGGCCGGGTGAACTTGCGCTCGCGCCAGCCGTACTGGTCCGCCTCAGGTTGGTAGTAGTCCTCATCTTCATCGTCGATCGGCCAGCCGTTCTCCACTCTGACTGGAGGCGTGGTGAGCGTGTTGTTGAAGGGGACCCCCAAGTGGTTCTTCTTCTTCTTCTTGTCTACTGTCATTGTTTGGTCTTGGCCCTGGCTCAGGGTCTTGACGGCGTTGACGAGTAGGCGCCGCAGGGCCACGGCCACGGAGGCGGGCGAAGCGCCCTGCTGGGCGGCCTCGAGGGTGTAGCGGCGGGCGATGGCCGGGTCGGCCACCTTGCGCTGCCAGTCGGGCTTCTCACGCAGGGCCGCCATGATGGCCTCCACGTCGGCCTTGTTCACCCCGCCCCCGCCTCCTTCGGCCTTGAAACTCAACTCCGGCGTCGTGCGCGGCCGTTTGTTGCTTTCCGTAGGATCGTTGTCCACATGGGGAGTGGGGAGTGCTGGGGCTCCAGCTCCGACCTTTGGTTCGGCGCTGCGCTGTGAGCGTGTTCTCTTCATGCTTGTGTGCTGTTTATCTAACAAGGAATCAAAAAAAGCGCCTACAACGCAAAATTCCACGAAGACATTTTTGGTTGAAGTGAAGACCGTCCAGCGGTGTCGACACCAAGACCTACATCACGCCGAGCGTTGTGTGACGTTTGTGTTTGGCGTGCGGCCCGCACCTTCGCTCAGGTCAGGAATGGAGTCCTCGGCGTCGTCGGCGAGCGGCTGGTCGAGCACGAGCACTTCCACTTTGCCCCGGAGGCACTGGGGGGGGGTAAAGACAAAGCCGGGGGGTGAGCCCAGCCAGCGGCCATGATGGAGAGGAGGAGTGGGGGCGTGTGTACGGGGCCGTATTTGAGCGAGCCGTAGGGGTAGCCGCACCGCAGTTCCAGGAACCGCAGGTTGGGCATGCACCGCACGATGTCCTTGAAGAAGAAGTTGATCTTGTCCTGCTCGTACAGCGAGCAGGACTCGGTCTGCCCCCGCGAGGCGTGTGCGGCGGTGCGTGTGCGGCGGTGCGTGTGCGGTCAGGACGGTGTGGTGCGGGCATGAAGGGCGGTTGGGTGGTGTGTGAAGGAGTACCACGAGGGTGTAGGCCAGGTCGAGCGAGGTGATCGAGGCCGGCAGGTACTTGAGATTCGACGCGTCTGCAGATGAATCCCGAAGCGTCTTCAGCCCATCGGCGCCAACATGTTCATGTTCGGACTCGAACCGGCGACGTCCTGTCAGACCTGTCCAGTCGGTCAAGTCGCTCACGTTGAACAACGGTCAACTCCGAACTCCCTCCCATTGCTCAAAGACCTGAGCTGACCAACCAATTAGAACGGACCATAGAACACTTTAAAAGAACACTGCGTTCTTCTGTTTATTTCATCCCTTCTTTCTCTCTTCTCAAATACATCTCTTCTACCACTACACCACTACACATAATCCTGCTCCAACAGGTTATGGGCCCACACTCACCAGCATTTTAAACCACCCTACCACTTGTTTTATGCCCATTGGTTGCAATGATCCATGTAATGACTACACACACCTGCACACCCATTGACTACCACTTGAACCACATGACCGCGCCACCCTACCCATGCCTGCACGCCTGTTGACACCGTTGAACTGCATGACTGCACCACATCTATGCTCACCTGCACACCTGTTGACCTTGTTGAACCATGTGACCGCCAGCAAGAGCGCCCGCATGACCTTGTGACCACGCTTCTCCCCATTTTCAAGTCACTTCATGTCTCACCCATCCACTGACCCACAAAGACCAAGATGAAGAAGGCTCACAAGGGGATACCACTACTCCATGGCACCAGCGACTACTGAAGGTGGCACTTGAAAGTGATCACACACCTCAAGTTGCTGGGCCTCAAGGACCATGTGACAGGGCTAACTGTTGTGCCTGAGAAGCTACACCAGAGTGAGACAGACCTCTCACTGGCAATCCAATGCCTTGAGCATGAGAAGCACATCCAACAGACACTTGGCATGATCAAGAAGCTGGTTGATGATGACCTCCTTCCATTGATTGAGGGTGCCACCACTGCAAAAGCTGTGCTTGACATCCTCAAAGCACCAGGACATAGGTCCTGTTGCACATGAGTGCTTTGAATTCCTCCTGCATCACCTTCTGCCAATGAGTGGCATTGGGCAAGGTGAGCACATCCTTGTTCAAACTACATGCCAATGGCTCAATCAACCACTACAAGGCCAGGTGGGTAGCCAAGGGCTTCACCCAATGCTTTGGCATTGACTATGACAGCACCTCTCCTGTCATACAGATTGAGAACCTCCAGTTGCTACTCACCTTTGTGAACACACACAACCTTGAGATCCACCAGGTCAACATCAACACAGCATTTCTCCACACCAAGCTCACCAAGGAGATTTACATCTCCCAGCCCAAGGGGTTCATTAACAAGCAACAACCCCACCACGTCAGACGACTGCTGAAGAGCCTCTATGGGCTTAAGCAGGCACTGCTCAAGTGGAACCACACCATCAACACCCATCTGTGCAAGTCCCACTTAGAACCCACTGACTTGGACCTGTGCATCTACATTTGTCAAGGTCACCACTTGGCCATCATTGCACTCTATGTTGATGACTGCACCATCATCACTCACAAGTCCAAGCTCAGGGGTGTCAAGCAGATCATTGCTGATGGCTTCCTGATCAAGGAGAAGCAACCTCTGTCCTTGGGATTGAGATCCAGTGCAATCAATCACTTGGCAAGCTCTACATCTGACAGCACAGCAAGATCAACAACATCCTTGCCACCTTTGGACTCACCAACAGCAAGCTGGTCTCCATGCCAATGCTGCTGAACCTACAGCTGCCAGTCAACACCAAGCAACATGACACCTTTGAATACCACAGCACCATTGGCATGCTGTTGTATCTGGCACATGCCTCATGACTGGACATTCTCTTCCCTGTCATGTACCTCAGCCACTTTACCAACAACTTTGGCCCTGAACATGTTGCCACTGTCAAGTGCATCATGTGCTACCTTGCTGGCACAGCCAACCTGGTGATCTGCTACTTGTGTGACCTCTACAATGACAGGGACATTGCAACCCATGTACCTATTGGGTACTGTGACACTGACTGGGGCAACATTGAAGTTGACTGCTGATTGGTCTCTGGCGTTGTCTTCATCTTCTGTGGAGGTGCCATCTTGTGGAGTGTCAAGATGCAGAAATGCGTTGCACTCTCCTCCACTGAAGCTGAGCTCAATGCCATCTCTGAGGCAATGCGCCAGGCACTCTACATGTGCAAGCATCTGCTGGCCCTTGGAGTTGACACCCAACAACCACTCTCTCTTCAACGACAACCAGAGTGCACTGGCCATTGTTGACATCTTGTCTGGCACCTACCACAGCCACATGAAACATTATGACATCAAACTTGTGCACCTGTGTGACATGACCAGTTGAGGTCAAGTCCACTACAGCTACTGCCTGACTGACAACATGCCCACCAACATTCTCACCAAGGCACTTGGCTGCATCAAGCTTGTTCACCACTGCCAACACATGGGGCTGATCAAGCAACCCACCACATGAGGGGTGTGTTTGGACTTGAACCAGCAATGTCCTGTCAGACCTGTCCAGTTGGTCAAGTCACTCACATTGAACAACAGTCAACTCCAAACTCCCTCCCATTGCTCAAAGACCTGAGCTGACCAACCAATTAGAACAACACTGCGTTCTTCTGTTTATTTCATCCCTTCTTTCTCTCTTCTCAAATACATCTCTTCTACCACTACGCCACTACACATAATCCTGCTCCAACAGTTCAATGTGCTGACACTACAAATGAATGGGCGTTGAGTGCACGATGTGGAGGTGAACGCACCACAGCTTCTTTGAAGCAGACACTTGAAGTGGAAGAAACCAGCCTGTGTTTCACCAACTTGTCCTTATCTTCTTCTCTCCACGCCGTTCCTCGCTTCACACGTGTGCCCTGTCACCTAAATGAAAAGATAAAAGAAGGAAGGAAATTAGATAATGTTCAGCGAACAGCCCAACAAGAAGGAAAGCTTGCTCTACATCCTTTGTGCCTGCCATTTAGTTGCCAATGGATTGGTCTGGGCAAGAGCAGCCGGCCATACCGGAACAGAGCAAAATTGTGCTGTACGCCCCCCCCCCTCCCCCCAAACGAGAAGGACGTCTAGGCTCATAATTGGAATCGCAGCACCGAGCAAACAACAATGCAAATGTGTGGAGTTTGGGATGCGCTGGAAGCCTACGGCAAGGTGTCACGACCATGGCCAGGTCCGCTGCGATACTTCTGCAATGACTACACCTTCCACCCGGACATGGCAAAGGTGACTGCCCATTGGCCCCTGGCCAGCCTCTTTGCCCAGGGCGGTGCGATCATCTGGCAGTGTGAGCAGGGCTCCACAGAGGTGATTGTTTACAGCTTCACAGCTTCCTCCCTCAAAGAGGTACTGGACAACTCTTTGGCCCCGTGGTGGCCTGGCTGTAGCTGATATTGTGGCAGGCAATAGTGGCAGCAATCGTTGGGCAGGCAGCCTATGGGATCGCCAGCTGGCAGCAGTTTGGGAGCACCTTTGAGAACTTCTCCATTAACGACGGGTGTGCCAGCTGGGCCGAGTTTTGGGCCATCTCAATACCGTTTCAAGATCCATTCAGCGAGGACCTGCCCCAACTGGAGGGAGCACCTGATGCAGTGGTCCAGCTGAACACCGACGGCAACGACTTTTTTAACCTCGGTCAGGCGGGCAGCACCTTCTACTTGGTGCATTACGGCACTTCCTGATGACCACCACGCTGTTTTAATAAAATCATATGGTCTTCACATTGCTGTCGACCCCTTCCTCATCGCTGACTTCTACGCCCACAAAGTACGGTGTGGAGTCCCAAGGGGCAATTTCGAGAGTTCAGGGGTACTTTGAGAGGAGACAAGGAGCCCTTCAAACCCTCAAGCGTGGACTTGGATGCTGCTGGCAACATCCTGGTGGTGGACCAAGGCAATCACCACGTGCAGGTGTGGAGGCGCGAGTTTGAGCTCCTCTGCGCCTTTGGCACGCTGGGCTATCAGCAGCCAGACCACCTCTGGGACCCCAACTTCGTGACCGTGGCCCCTAATGGCGATGTCATCGTTTCTGTTTGTGCCGCAAACCGTTGTCTGGTCTTCTGATAAGCCAAAACACTTGCTTCCACAACGGACCCAAACACAATCGCATTCCCATGAAGTGAAACCATGACAATATAGTCACTTCTGTTGCATCTTTTGTAATATGTTTTTGTGGTGTGTGTGTTTACAGGAAAAAGCAGGTTGTCGTCTATGCCTTCATGTAGCGCAAGGTGTTTGTGATGTCGTCCAGTATCATGTTCAGGGTGAGCTCGTGTCGTTCAGAGTACTGGTCGAGAGCCGTCTCTGATGTGTGGCCCATGATCTTCCACGTCAGTTCCGGGTCCCCCTTTGCCTCGGCGTTGGCCCTTTCAAAGTGGCGCTTGGGAGCTTCAAGGCGTATGAGGCGCCTCTCGTCGTCAAAGACCAGCGCCTCGTTCTCGAACCGGACGTCGGGAAACACGAAAATGCCAAAGCCTCTAGCGCAGAGCAGATGGACCATGGCGCCTTGACCCAGTAGTTCTCGTCCACGTTGTCCCGCTTAGCCACTCCGTTCTCCTGTAGGAGGACCCTGAACTTGGGGTCCTAAACGTTAGCCCACCTTCCTAAAAACGACAATTACGGAAAATTAAATTAATAACAATGTGGGAAAGAGAAGGAAGAACGAAAGGCATAGTGGGGGGCGGTACCAAGAGACGGTGTGGTGCGTGACTTTGGCGAGAGAGTGCACTCGCAGAAGCCAGCATGTATTGCTGAGCCGAATGAGGTCGCTCACTCGTGAACGGTGTGTGACAACGGTTGAGTTCGCCCACCGGTTCGGAGCTACATCGAGCTGTCGGAGCTGGCAAGGTTTTTATGAAAAGTGCCAAGGCCTCACACGGAGAGGAGACAACCCAGAGCGTTGGCGAGATCTTCGTCTTCGCCGCTGTCGCCACTCAAATCTTGAGTGGTGGTATCGTCATCATGCTTGCCCGAGGCCACTTCGCACCCGTACCCCGTACCCTTGACGACTCCGTCCTCTTCCTCTTCATCCTCGTCGCTGCTCTTCTGATCTTCGCTGTCGTCGATCGGCTGCAGCTTCACACATTCCCGCTCGGCCGCGCACAGCTCGACGTGCTTGTGCCACTCTTCGCACTCTCGCCTCGGCCTCCACCTCAACTCTGATGGTTGGACATTGTGAGTGTTGCGGTCTCCACGCCTTCGGTTTGCTGATTGGTGATGCTAGAGTTTGTACCATCGCTCACATCCGCGAGAGTGTCCACAGCGTAGGGGTCCATGGGCTGATCCAGCACCAGAGTATCCACCTTGTCTCGAAGACACTGCCCATAAAGAGAACTCGTGAGTGTTGTGTGGGCCTGGTAAAGAAGAGGTGCTCAGGAGAGTAGGGCGTGTGTACGGGGCCGTATTTGAGCGAGCCGTAGGGGTAGCCGCACCGCAGGTCCAGGAACCGCAGGTTGGGCATACACCGCGCGATGTCCTTGAAGAAGAAGTTGATCTTGTCTTGGGCGTACAGCGAGCAGTACTCGGTCTGTATCAGACACGCACGAGAGCGGTTCATTGTAGCTCCGATCAACGTTCACACTCATGCGAGATCAGCGGTGGTGAGGTACCACGAGAGTGTTGGCCAGGTTGAGGGAAGTGATGGAGGTCGGCAGGTACTTGAGGTTCGACGGATCTGCCGACGACCCTCGCAGCGACAGCGACTTGAGTCCGTCGGGCAGCATCCTATGTACACCCGCGCAGGCGCGAATGGTGATTGGTGAGCTGGTTTCGACCGAAGCTGAGGGGTTGGAATGGAGAGTGGCACATACCACAGCTTCTCGGACGAGCAGTTGAACTGAGGAATGTCTTCGGCCTTGAGGGTCTCCAATTCAGGCAGGTAGCGCTGGAAATCGAAGCGGGCGAAGGTGAACTCCGAGTCCGACAGGTCAAGCTCGCGCACAGTGGGCGGAAGACCTGGACACACACACGACAGTTCGGACGTCACGCGTGGTGAGGCCCCGTGTGCGCGCTTTGGAGTGAGTTATCATTTCTTGCGTACTGAAGAGGGCAGCGGTGGCCGACTTGATGCCGGTCAGCTTGAGCGAACGCAGGCCGCTGGGCCACTTGCACGCCAGGGCGGTGTGATGCCACATGAGCGAGAGGTAGACGGTGTACTTGGCGCGGCCCTCGAACTCGAGCTTGGGGCAGTACGACAGGTCCAGCTCCTCCACAGTGTCCGGAACGTACTGCAAACCACACAACAACGGACGGTTCGGAATTAAAACGACGTTGGCTTGGACCAGTGTTGAGAAAAAGGACAAGGTGCAAGGTACCTTCAGCAGGGCTGCGGTCATTTCCTTGCAATGAGACATGTTGAGCTGCCGCAGTGCTGTCAGGTGTGCCAGCTTTTTGATGGCTTTCCTCGAGATGTTGGCGTAGTGCAGATTGAGGCACTGGATGTTGGCCGACAGCACATTGATGCCTGGCGCCACGCACGGAACCACGCCGGCCAGCCGGGTGAGAGTGAGTGTTGTGAGCCCTTCCATCGTCATTAAGTTCGTGTTTCACTCTGCTTAGCTTGTCGTACCTGGTGCGCTGGCGATGGTGGTGTAGGACAGGTTGAGGCTCAGCAAGGTGGGGGGCAGCTCACGCAGCACGTTCTCCGACAGGTTGTCCCATGAGGTCAGGTCGAGCGACCTCAGCCGGGCGTACTGGGTCGTCAGTTGCTTGAGCACCTGCCGCATGCCCCGCGGCGCGCTCACCAAACCTAAGCCACACCAACAACGGTCAGCCACACAAAAAGAACGAAAACGAAAAAGAACGGACCCAGAGGCCTGACAGTGCGATGCTTGACGCGGGCCAAGACGTGGAGTCGGAAGAACCAGCAGGAGTGGGCGAGGAGGTGCAGGTCGGGTGGCGCGAGGTGGTCGCAGACGATGACCCACACCTCTGGTGGCAGGTCCGCCACCGTCATGACGGGAGTCTCCAACTCGGTCTCCATTTTGTGCGGCGTTGGCACCTAAACTGAGCCCACCCTGGCCGGGTGCTTTGAGTGCCGAGGGTTCGTTCGGTTGACCTGCGCAGGTCGTATGGGTTGCCTTGTGCGTGTTGGGCTGCGTGTGTTTGTTTGAATGGCGGTGAGAACCTGTGGGGGGGTTTTTCTTGGTCCCTCTAGTTCGGCGAGTGTGAGCCCGGTGTTCGGGAGAGTGCTCGCCACCTCATCTCCCCTGTGGCCTCGTGGGTCTCAATCCGCCCTAATCCTCCCTGCTCCCCGCGAGGCGAAACTCTCGGTCTTCTCCTTGGCTTGGCTGGTTGGTAGATGACACCCATCAAGACCTGATC